GGCAAAGTATGCAACGCGCGGTGCCACACGAATGCAGACTTAAACAATTTCGTCATCGTACTGTGTTTGTAGAAGAGCCTACGCGTCCTCACCTGGAGCGAGACACCAACATCAAACAGCCGACCAACAAGAAGTACGAGATGTGCCAGCGGCGACTGCACAACCTCTGGCCAACAGCTTCGAAGACTACAAGGAGAGGGACGAGGTCATGCGCTACCTGGCCTGGAGGCTATTGCGTACAATATTAAACTCCAAGAGTGACTTGGACAACAAACTATGAACTACGTTGGCCCTTATTTCATTTGCCATTTTTGGCTGAGCGATTAGCGAAGCCCATAACTCCACTGACCAGAAAAGTTTCATTCTGTTTGTTTGTCTGTTTGTCTGACTGTCCGCACGATAACTCGAGAAAGAATTGAGATAGCGACCTGGGATTTTCAGGGTCGTTTTGTATCGTAAAAAGACAGATCAAGTTCGAAGATGAGCATTCGAGCTTTAAAATTGGCTTTTAAAAAAATCAAAAACTACAGGTCGCAATATGTATTTTTATCAAATATTTTTTTATGGGTTCCTAAGGGTTAATTCGTCGAAGTAGAGTCTTCTGGGCGAAAATTTCGTCCGTTTGGCTCTATCTTGTACCGTTTAGGTGCCAGGGGGCGTTTCTTGGCAAAAATGAGGTGAGAATGATCAAATGGTCGATTAAATCGTTAAGAATACTTTATTGCGAAAAATTGTATATACACTACTATTACCCCATCTTGGGTGTCAGCGCTGCAGGCCTAGCTATATGTGCGCCAGGCGCGTCGCAGCGTAACAGAGTTTCGTGAGATATCGCGAAGCCTGTTACGCGAGACGTGGTCTGGCGTACATATAGCCAGTATGTTATTGGCCCTCATCGACTAGAAGACATTGTAAGTGGGGGGACCAAGTAACGGTGGACATTTTTTTTGTGGACATTTCTTCGTGAAAGCGATGTACCCTCATCGGTAAGCTGCCAACACAGTGTAGTTTTAAGCATACATGTTACTTTCTTATTTGAATCCAAAAAAGAAAAAAAATCTTTTGTTTAATGTTACAGAGTTAGGAACATCCAGAGCATCAGTCATGTTGAAATCACCTGAACCACATTCAGCATTTGGAAAGGCGGCAAAAATATCAAGAGGAATATCATCATCGGTCACTATTTCCGGTAGTACAGGATCCTGCGGGTTGAGTCCATCTTCATCTGAGAGATCTTCACAAACAATTTTCCTTGAAGCAAAAAGGAAGTAACCAGGGACAAGAGTTTTCTTCATTCCTAGTTCTGAACAAACCTTTTTCACTTCTTCATGCGCCTTGTTTATGGTATCACATATTTCTTGATTGGAAGGGAGTTTTGCTTAACACTCACCAGTGTTGCCTTTTATAACTTTTCATTTATCTCTAGACATAGTATAACCTAATGCACCGAGTCTCTCAGTAATGTAAAGCACAGGCGCGGATCCAGCGAAAGGTTATAGGAGGGGCATTTTTCTGAATGTGTCGCATGTTGGTTGCCTAACTCACAGGGGAAAGTACATAAACATTTGCCAAATTTAAAAGAACAAACCCCCGTTTTCCATAATGGTGAAGGATACTTGTAAAATGCTTCTGATGGTCCAAAGTCAGCTAAAAGAAGCTGTCACGAGCGAAGCGAGCGTAAAAATTTTGGAAACCATGTTTTAAAATTGGGATCACGAGCTAAGTTAAAAGGGAAATCCTAGAAGTCATCGCGAGCGAAGCGAGCGGAAAAAGATCTGAAAAATACGAATTAAAATTGAGACCAAATCTAAGTAAAGTTTGACGAGAAGTCACCATTACCGCAAGCAAAACAGGCTCAGAAAAAATCTGAAGAGTACCAACTACCAACTATCTTGTGACCTACGGAGGAAAACAAAAATCTGCCTATTCAAAGGCTTTTAAAAATAAAAACAATATTTATGCTAATCTATAGTGGTGTACAAAACGGAACGAAATTTTTCAATTCAGAATCAAAGCACAGAACACTTCAGTTGTTTAAATGTTTCCTTGCTGCCTGAAAATTCCCCAAAAAGACCTATATTTTCTAAAAACTTTTTCTTTCCTCCTTATTTTTTCTCTTCTCTTCCTTTACTCCCCTTCTTTCTCTCTCTTCTCCTTTCTCCCTCTTCCTCCTCTCCCCTTCTTCTCTATTTTTTCCATGCTTTCGAAGGCTTGGGGGGGGGGGCATTCCCCTATTGCCCCCCCCCCCTGGATCCGCGCCTGGTAAAGCAGCAGGTGAACTCTTTTCACTTTGTACAGAAGTTTTTGCGTAGAGAAATTTACCACTGTTTGTTGAGTTGTACCTAAAGAACTGAGTAATCGGAAAAAACTCTTACAGGGTTGACTACAAAATTGTTTTGCATTGAATATTGGGTCAGAATAATTATCTCTGAAATAAATAATAAGCTTCACCAAACAATGTGCATTGATTGCCATACAATTATACAGATTGTGTGTTTCAAAAATTGTCAGAAATACTGAAACCAGATGAAAGGAGCCACACTCTCCAGATCCTTAGAAAGAAGACTGCACGCCAAAGCAGGTAAACTCTCTGAAAAGCAGGGATATCATCCTTCTTAAAGGCCCACATTGCTTCCCTCATGACAGTGAAATAAGCAATTGTGCCTTCTGATGCAGAAACTTTCTCCTTTAGACTCTCAGTAACTCTCTCTCTGAACATTTTTTTACGGATGCAGAGAAGTTCATTTTGTCTTCTTTTTTCCAGGTCAAAGGGAACATGGCCATGATCTCTTAGATTCTTCGTTTACCAGGATTGCCAGGTGAGAACCAGATGCCATATATTTTCTAATAGACAGTACAACTGATTCCTTTAACATTCTTGTTTTAAATTAGTTAATAACATGGATTGGATCTTGAATGCAGGAATCAGATGTTAAGTCACAATGAAACCATTTACAATCTTTTGCAGTGCTGGCAGCTGCAGTGAAGCACTTAAAGTTGCATTGCGCTTAACGATTTACTGTCACCATCCGATGAAAATCCGACAACTTCTATGCCCTCCTCAGCAAGTGCTCTTTTGATGTATTCCCACCTCAAAAAAACATGGTCAGCAGAGAAAGAGTTGTCAGTACCCATTAAAAAGAGACAAAAAGGAGCAGCTGGAGCAAAAGTCTGTGCCATGATCACATCAAGTCAAGTATAAAACAATGTTTAAAAAAAGCAATGGATGGGCAATTCCAGGCAGGGGTGTCCGTCAGTGACGGCATTTGTGAGCGACTGAGAGGTGCTATGTATTATTGCAGTAGGTCCCTAGAAGCGTATTGCAAAGACGCGTCTAGTCATGTGCTTCAACAACCTGTAGCACCTCTCAGTCGCTCACAAATGCCGTCACTGACGGACATTTAT